CTGGAGTGCAGGTTCTGAAGGCCCTCTCACCCTGAGGTCACACATACCTGAGGCCAGGGCCTCAGGAAGCCCCTTTGATTGGTTCATGTAGCCGCCAGCAGCAAATATTCTTAGTGGTGGCAGCAGAGGCCAGTACTGCGGTCTGGGTCGGGATGAGGAGAGGAAGAGGCAAACCTGGCTGAGCAGGAAGCACCACCTTAGCAGGCGGGGAGCATGGGGAAACGCAGATGCCAGAGCTGGCCAGGGCAGGAAGCAAGCTTTGCCGGATCCGAGGGTCAGTGGGAAGGCACTGTGAATGGGAACTGAGTGGTGTTAGCTCTGAAGCTATCGCTGGTGCCATCTATCCGGCAGTAACCAATGGTAACCAACGGTGTGTCCTGACCAGAGAGTTCTAGAGAGCTCAGCGCAGGAGTCTTTGATCTCCCTCACCAAACCCCAGCCCTGAGAGTACAGATATCCCAGAGTGTGCGCTCTCTCTCTCTCTCTCTCCCTCCCTCCCTCCCTTCCTCTCTCTCATCTATCATCTATCTATCATCTACCTATCATCTATCAATCTATCAGTCTATCTATCCATCCATTCATTTATCTTACCCCTGCCCCTGTCTATCATCTGTCTGTCTGTCTGTCTGTCTATCTTATCTGTCTGTCTGTCTATCTTATCTGTCTGTCTGTCTGTCTGTCTGTCTATCTTATCTATCTGTCTGTCTGTCTATCTATCTTATCTATCTGTCTGTCTGTCTATCTTATCTATCTGTCTGTCTGTCTGTCTGTCTATCCTATCTATCTATCTATCTATCTATCTATCCCGTTCCTGCCCAACTCTCGTTCTCCACCTTCATTTCTCTGCCTAATGTATTCCCATGTGTTTTCTCTGTGTCGTGGTGCTGCATCAGGGTAATAAGGTGAAGAACAGAGGCACGTCTGGGCTGAAGATGGGGCATATGCTTGACTCTGTTTACGTCTGGTCTTTTACACAGGCTGTGATCTGGTGGGCAAGATGGAGGGAGACACTGAGCAGGTCAAGCCTTCCTCCAAGCCAACTGGGCTCTAGGCAGAATGTCTGAGTGGTTTGTTGGTACAGGGGTCAGTGAACCGTCAGATTCCTCCGTGTGCCATGAAATATTCCTTAAATAGTTGTGGGCACCTCTTCTGTGGTAGAAAGGATCAGGGTGGTGGGGAGGTGGTGCTAAGGCTCAAGTCCTAAGACATCTTCCTCCCCTCACCCCACTCACCCTCGGGGCTGGGCTGGGACTCCAACTCCAAGAAAGTTCCCAGGTGCATTAGTGATTCTGAGAGGGAAGAGGCTGTATCTAATTGCAACCTCTCTACTCTCCTTTGATCAGGCTGGAGAAGAAGGGTAGGGGCCATGTTATGTCTCATGGCTCCAGTGTTTACCCAGGAATACCACCCTACCTCTCCCTGCTCCCTAAAAGGACACTAGCCCTCGGGAGTCTGGGCTGCAGCCAGCCCCAGGACTCTACCTGCCTTAGAGAAATGGTCTTGGACTTCACCAGCCCACTGCGGAGACTGGTGGGTGGACTGGTGTCTCCTCTGTCTCTCCCTCCCTCCCTCTCTCTTTCCCTCTCTGTCTCTCTGAAGAGAGAAACTATACGTTTATATAATATAGTCAGGTTGGTTTACAGCTGAGGGAATTTTGTAGAAAATGAGGGGAGGGTGACACGGCTGGGTGGTAGAGGCGGCCTCCCTGCGGCTGTGGTGCTGTCTGAGTTCAGAGCTATATGCTGGGAAGGACCATTCAAGGGCATGGCAAGAAGAGATGTCCCATTTGAAGGAACAGAAGTACAGAGCCAAATACTAGTAGGTAGCCCATGTGCATATCATTAAGACTGTTAGGACTGAAGCAACCAGGGAGGGGCGAGATAGGAGGGTGGACAGGGGCCTGTGTCCATGGCAAACAGGTCAGGGTTTGATCTTAAGCATGGGAGGTTTGGTTGGATGTTCCTTCCTAGTGTGGATGCTGGAGGACCCAGTAGGCAGGAGATATGGAAAGCAGAGGACTTGGCAAGGGGTCTTGGGGCAGAGCTGCGAAATCTGCAGAGCTCCTGGGAATCTGGTGTCTGCAGATAGCCCCTCCCCCACTTCTGGCTCCATTTCCAGGCACTAGGTACCTGCCATTTTTCAGTGTGGTCCCGCCATCTCTCTCTGCTTGAGCTGGCCATATGGGCACAAGGGGTGAAGAGGGACCCAAATCCTCCCTTGCTTCCTCAGTGGGCTGGCCATCTTCAGCTATGCCATTTCTGGAATCGAGGAGGCAAGCCAACAGGTGCGGTGAGGTGTGGCAGGAGGAGTTTCCAGCAGGGCACTCCTGGAATATCCCGTGCTGTGATACCCAGACCCTATCTAATCCAAGGCTCTGGCTGCCATCTTCCTAGGCTACATCTGTGATGGGACCTTAGAGGAACATATGCTTGCAGTCCTCAGTCTAACAGGGAATCTCACAGTGCTCATTCCTATCCCGAGAGCATCAGTGGTTGGCACGGGAACTTGGAAGCTGATCTCAGGCAGTGTGATCACAGCAGGACTGATATCTGTTCCAGGTGCTGCCACAGAGGTCTCTCTCTCTTTTTTTAATTCCAGTGAAATGGCTCAGTGGGTAAGGGTGCTTGCTGCCAAGCCTAATGACCTAAGTTCAGTCCCTGAAACCCTGTAGTGGATGGAAAGAACCCACTCCTCACAACTGTCCTCTGATCTCCACACTCATACCGTGGAATACACACACACCAATTAATCAATCAATGTAATTAAGTAAAAATGTAAGGAATGCTTAAAATTCTCCTAACATACAATCTTTTTTTAAAGCATTATTATTATTGTTTTTGGAGACAAGGTCTCACATAGTTCAGGCTGACCTTGAATTGATGCTCCTGCCTCAGCCTTGTCACAGCTGGGATTGCATGTGCACACCACTGCTGGCTTCCAAACAACGTTTTGAAGCTTGAAGCTCAGCGACTTCCATTTATCTTGTGGCACAGCACAGCTTATCTGGTCTCAGTGTATTTAATCCCCAGGAGAAACCCGGGCCCCATGACCCCTTGCTTGTGGCTGCACCAGGGCAGACGTGCACCTCCAGCCTGCCTTTGACTCCCTTTTTGGATTTCCTGTTCGTTGTTGCTCAGACACTAGGTGGTTCAGCCCGGTTTTCACAGTTCGTCTGTCTACATTGTGCTATTTTGAATCAGCAGTTTGTTCCTGGTCACGGTCAAATGCCACCTAACATATCTGGGTCATATCATGTCTGGGAGCTCCTCTTCTGATGTGTTCCCAGCCCCTCACCCTGTCTGGTTGAAGTAAATGATGTCACTGTGAAGGGACCTGGGGTCTGTTGACTGTGTGACATGAGCCGTGTCCTTTCCTTTTCTGAGCTTGACATAGTCTGTGCAAAAGGGAGAAAGAGACTAAGTAACCCCTGGGACAGGACCTTTTTTTTTCATTGGATATTTTATTTACATTTCAGATGTGATCCCCTTTCCCCATTTCCCACCACCACCACCATGTCCTCTTGAGTCTTAGGGTGTCCACCAGCCTGGCCCAGCTGGCCAGTCCACCTTCCATGCTGGTTGGCCAATGGCTTGTCAAAACCTTCATAATTGTGGTGCATGGGAGGTGGGAAAATAAATTCTTATTACTGGAGAAGAGCATAAATTATCTGTTAATTCCTGGGCTTATTATAGTTCTGTGACCTTAGACAAGGCACGTAAGGCCTCTGAGCCTGTCTTCTGAGTAGGGCAGGGCTCTGACATGTACAGGATACTTGTCCTGTGTCATCCTCCCTTGCTGACTGAGCCTCCACCCTCAGATTTCTCTTTGCCTGTGCTTGCCTATCACTGGCCCTCTCAGCTTGTGCCGCTTCTCTGAGGACCCTTGGCCTGGCGCGTGCCATCTCTAGATGTGTGCCACAAACCGCTGTGAGCAGCCGCCTGCTTGGGGTCAGACAAAAGCGACAGATCTGCCCTGCCAGCCCTGGGCAAGTCTGGACCTGCCTGCTTGGCAGTGCCGAGCTGGGCCAAGCTGGTTCCCAGGGCTCAGAAGGCTGCCCCAGGGAGCTGCTCCTCAGCTGGGATAAGGCAGCGGGCAGGTGGGCTGGGGTTTCCCTGCCCCAGCCTCCCACAAGGACACAACTTACTCTGCCTGAGCGCCCTTACCCTGCCCCCTCCTTCAGGGTGGCTGTGAGTAGGCGGAGCCCCCGTGTGGGAGGCTGTGCCTAGGAAATCGTGGGGAAAGAGGCTGTGGGTACTAGCTGGCGTCAGAGTGTCCCTGATCCTCTTTAACTTCTTGGGGAGACCATCCACAGGTGACAACTCCAGGGCAGTCCTAGGACCTTGGCCTTAGACCCTGCAGGGTGAGGACCCTGCGGTCTTGAGACCCACAGTAGCCCACACAGTTGTGCAGTACAGGCCTGGCTCCAGCAGGGGGCGCCCTACACACACACACACACACTCTTACTAAGAGACGACAAGGCACAGGCTTCCTCCCACCAACCTACAGGAACCAAGACCTGGCTTGACCTAACCCTGGCCCTCCCTGTAGGCTCAGGACATGATGATGGCAGCCATGGCTCATTCTTGCAAAAAACTGACCCAAGACCACAGAGACTAAATTCACTCCCCCAGCAGCGTCTACCCAACAACGTGAGGGCACATGCCCTTGTTACCTGTTTTCTGGCGGCAGAATCCAGGGATGTCATCTCTAAAACCAAGCTTGCCTCAGTCTCACTTCCTGGACCAGAGGATGAGCTGTTTGGCGGGTGGAGGATGGTAGAGAGGAAGAGAAGGGAAGCAAGGCAGGGAAGAGGGAGGCACACGGGGGGGGGGGGGGGGGGGGGGGGGGGGGGGGTGTACAGCGCGGGTGGGAGGACTTAGCACTGCCCTGGGGTCTCTTTGCACCATCATAGACAGCACAGTCCACTTGGTTCTCCTGGTACTGAGGAAGGCAGGGGGTGGGACTTCCGGATGCTCAAATTGTCCTCCCTCTTTCTCCAGAATGAGCGGCAGCGTTGGGGAAATGGCCCAGTCCTCCTCCTCCTCCACCACCACCGCCACCACCTTTGAGCACCTGTGGAGCACTCTGTGAGTATGGAGAACTCCGCCTCACTGGCTTGGTTGGCTTTGGCTGGCTTGGAATAGGTTGGGAGAGGGGTCTGCCGAGGTAGCAGCTGCCTTGGGCCGTGTCCTGGGTGCATGTGACTCACAGTCGTGGTCTGACCTCTGGCTAGTTCTCTAGAGGGCTGAGGGCACAGAGACCATGTATATGAAACATTTTCTTCCCAGTACTACCAGGCCGGGGGGGGGGGTGCTGAGTGGGCAAGCCAACAGCTGGCGGGGATTGTGGGGGCTGGATAGGAAAGCTCCAGAAGGCCAAGGACATATGATTTATCTCCTGGGACACACACACGGCTACCAGGAGCCATGGGGTTCTGAGCCAGGGGAACCCAGGGGATTCTAGAGCAGATGCTAACATCCAGTGTCCTCCCCCCTCCACACACAGGGAGCCAGACAGCACCTACTTTGACCTTTCCCAGCCCAGTCAAGGGAATAGCGAGGCATCGGGCAGCGAGGAGTCCAGCATGGATGTCTTCCAGCTGCAAGGCTTGACCTCCTCGGTCATGGTGAGTAGGTGTCTGCTAAAGACTGGATGTTGGTAATGAATGCGGGTTGGCTTTTCTTAGGTGGAATGAGGAAGCAGGGCTTTGGGTAGCCTCCCTTGGGTCAGAAGGAAATATATGATGAGCTCGCGTTGCTGTCAACTCCTAGGAAAAAATGGATCCAAGCATGATTAGACCCAGTGATAAGAGGAGCTTCAGGCGTGGCTGGACCCAGGTGCTTCTCCTCTTTCACCTGCTTCTCTCTGTTTTTTTTCCTGGGGTACCTTGGTTCTTAGGCAGCCTTGGCCCTCAGAGAGAAGCAAGTTGAGATCATCCAACATCTTGAGGCCCTGTGGAGAGGGCTCCTCTCTTTTTCCTTTGCCCAGAAAAACTGCTTCGTGTTGGTCTGAACATGCTTGTTGCTATGTGCCACTGAAGTATCCCTATCTTTCTGATTGGCCCGTGTCCTTATATCTACCTTTGGACCCAGTCAGGACGGAGGGCGCTGAGGCAGGCTCCTTACATTAGAAGAGGAAGATGGGACCAATGGGGAAGTGGTTCCGTTCCCCATCTTGTGGTCTCTTTTCTGGGACCAAGAGGGGTGTCAAGCAGCCAGTCTTTGGAATTTGGCTCCTATTGGGAGCGCCTCTTGGCAAGAAGGAAAGTCATGGTAACTGTGAGATTCTGCTCCTGCCTCACTCTCTGGCTCCCAATGCTGGGCTCTGGTGGTGCCAGGAGCTGGTGCGTGCAAGGAGCATGTGAAGACCTCTGTTCCTGAGGCAGCTCCTCGAGGCCTCCTGTCCTCAGCATCCTCCCCTACTGGACCACCAAGGTGCTAGGATCCCACAGGCAAGAGGGCTGGGAAAGTGTCAGGCGGGGACTTGTCGGAGGAACACTGCAAGCACATTAAGGAAGAGCAAAGCCCAGACCGAGTTGGCACATGTCAGCTGCAGAGGCACCAGGTAGCTCAGTGTGTCTCCTGTGCAGCCTTCCTCCCACTAGCACCTGATGGGTTGTGTGCTAGAGGGCCAGGGACTCTCGAGGCCAGCAAAGTGTGAGGCTAGCCTCTCCTTGGCGGGAGAAGCTTGACCACCTTGGGCATCTGTGAACACGAGGCCCATGGGGCTCCAATTGCAAGTGTGAGTGTATGACAAGGCTGAAGAAGTAGGAGGCACTTGCTCCCTCCCCTCTTTCTGTAGAGGTGGACGTTGGACAGAGCCCATTGATCCCCCATGGAACTGGGCAAGACTCCCTCCTATAGTGCCAGCCCCAGGGGGTAGGGAGTTATCAGGCGTCATCCTGGTGATGTCCACTTCTCTGAGCTCGACCCGTCCAGCCTTGATCTCTGCCAGTTTGGGAGCCTGTCTCAGAATAGCATCTCACTTTCATTCAACATCTGTGAGTGTCCATTTTACAGGCAAGGAAACTGAGGCAGATGCTGTGGAAGGAGAGCCTAAGGCTTAGGCAAGAGAATGGCCCTGCAGCATGGTGAGGGTCGTCCCCCATCCTGCCTGCTACTCCTTAGAGGCATGATTCTGACACCCACCATCTAGGATATGTGTGTCCTCCAGTCTAGAGGGACAAGAGATGGCTACCAGGCTCTAGAGAGGGAGGGCTTTTCACATAGTCTTTAAAGATGCCTGCCTCAGGAGTTCTGGAAGCTGCCTCCCTCTAGGCTAAGCTACCCAGCCTATGACTGAGAGGGCAGAGTGCTCAGAGACCCCACTGTGACTAAAGGAAGAAGCAGGGCACAGTCCCAGGCCCCTGAGGCTAGGGATGTGGTACCCACCCCGGCCCCAAAGATACCCAAGGTAAACATGTTGGCGGGTGCTCCAGAGTGCTCACCTGCTGGGGCATGCTGCTCCCAGGAGGGGTAACAAGGGCGGGGCTCAACACCTCCGCAAACAAGGGGCTGCTTTCTCAGGTAGCAACATGCCTTGCAGTAAAGCCATGGATGAAATTCCTGGGTGCACAGCTCAGTCCTAGAAGTGGGAATTCCCTGGACCCAGGACTTCCTGGCCTCCCTTCTGCAGGGCTCACCTGACCCTCATGCCCAGTTCTTACAAGAGACAGCTACTGGTCCAACAGCTTCCTGTGTGTTCAGATCTCCCAGCAGCCCTGAGAGCAAAAATCAAGACTCAGAGATGTGACGACTCGGGCCATGTAGCTGCAATGCTCCAGAGCTCATGGGGATTGCAGGGAACTATGGGTGGGGTGGGGGACTGCAGGGGCTGCAGGGGCTGCAGGAAACTGGAGGTGGGCAGGTGGGGGAATGCAGGGAGCACTAGATATTGCATACCGTGAAATGAGGTAGTTGAAGTTTGATCTCATAAATTACACGGCTGATTACCGCTTATCAGGATCACCGAGGAAAGGGGCATCCTAGCACTTCAGGGAGCATGCTCCCAGAGCAAGGCAAGGTGGCCAGTGATGAAACACCTAGCTACCATCTTTAGGTCCAGAGATGGAGGCTGCTATGGAAGTGGCAGTTTGGGGTGCAGATGTGTGAGAGTAGTTTGGGGACCTACAGTGTCCATTGTCATTTTAGGGTACAGCTCTTAGGAAGCAGTGGTCTGGCCACAGACTACAGAGTACATACTGGTCCAGGGAAGCTGCAGACAGGGTAGCCTGCCAAGGCCCAAGTTCAGCACCTCTGCTATGTCCAGTGTCTGAAGCCCAGGAGCTGAGCCTGGTGCCTCACCCTCGGGGGTTCCGAAGTCTGATGGACTTCACAGTGAGGAGTTGTGGAACACTCTCAGAGGGAGGAGTTGGTGAGAGCTCTCACAGGGAGGTGTGTGTGCATGCCATGGATTCACATGTGGATTCCATGTGTTGTCTGCAGCAGCTTCTAAAGTGCTGGGTGGTTTGAAGAGAGTGCCCGAGCATGTGTGATTTAGAGTTCCAGGGGGTATGGGAGGTACAGAGAGGAAAGGGTTCTAAGACAGCTGGGGTACCTGGAACCGCTCAACACTGTGACTAGGTAGAAGCTCCCAGTGCTATCCCCATCCCTGAGAACTCTAGCCCAGTCCCTGACTGGGTCCAGGACAAGAAATACTACTCAGGCATGTTCTCAGCTCAGTGAGCAGTTCTGGCATCTGAGGTTCTCAGGACTCCCAGCAACCCCACTTCCTGTGTCCTCAGGTACCCTCCTTCGCCCCCACAGAAACTTACTCAGTGCTGACTGGTGTCCAGTTGTTCCTGTGTGCTGGACAACCCCACCTAAATACCAGGATAGTCCAGCAAAGGTGGCATGGCTTAAGCCAACACGGTCCCTTGAGCAAGTGGGGCATCTGTTCTCTTCAATGGTTCCTTCTGTGTCTAAGGGACCTGGAGGGGGAGATTGCTTCCTGCCGGCTGTAGTGATCCCTCAGTACTACATGATACCCTTCTCCCCCATCTTAATGTCTGGCAGAAATGGGTGCAATCAGTGAGGTCAAGTTCACACATGCTCCTGAGTCTCCATGTCCTCGCTTGTGAAGCTCAGATAAAGGAAGGGGCTAGAATGGAGAGGACCCTGGGAGAGGGACAGCCTCCTGAGTACCAGCTCCTCTGCCTGGCCTTGTGCAGAGGGGCGGGCCAGGCCTCGACATCCGACCACTCCTGCGTCTCATTGGAGAAGAGTGTGTTGTACGATTAAAGCAAATGGGGTGGGCATGGGGTGGGCAGGGGGGGGGCAGGGGGTGGGCATGGGGTGGGCAGGAGCAGCTGAGCCCCTAGTGGGTCTGGGGAGATCCTTAGGCATGGTGAGGGAAGCCCTTGTGGCCTTAGCTTCCTGTGACTGTGGAGGTGACAAAGCAGAGTCTAGAAGGTTGTGATAGGAAAGGAGGAAACTGAAGGTCTCTAAGCTAGATGTCCTGGGTTTGTAGCCCATCCTGGCCTTCTAAGCTGGGAAGATCTCAGAATCCTTTAGTCCTCTGGATATCAGTGGCCACATCTGTTAGATGGGGAGCCGTGCAGGCTAGAAGCCCGTAGGTGCTGTTTCCCCCACAGGGAGTGATGGTTAGCGCAAGGGGGGAGCGCCTATGTCTCCCACACTATTGGAGACCCTGGACAGTCTGCCATGCAGGAACACTGGACTCTAGAGCTGGTTTTGCCCCTTGGCCATTTTGGCTTCTGCATACGGAGCTCCTTGCTCCTAGAAATGTCCCTCCGTTCTAGCTGCCCTGGAAGATTTCAGGTGCTTTACAGAAACTCCGCTTTAAAATGGCCTGGAGACTAGGTGCGGTGGCACACGCCTAATCACTGCCCCTGGGTGGCAGACGAAGGGGGATCTAAAGTTTGGAGCCAGCCTGATCTACACAGAGAAAGCCTGTCTCAAAAGTGAAATGATCCCCCTGCCCAGCAAGAAGAGAAGTCAGAGACGCCTCTCCCAGGCGCTGTGTAGGGTGAGCTGAGGGGCCCATGCCAAAAGCTAGGGATGGCCACAGGGTGCTCAGCAAGGTTGAGAATCTCTGGATGCTGACACATGTCAGGGGACAGGTCCCAGATCAATGAGGCCCTACCATACTGTCTTGGGAGATTGCATGGAGGGCAAAGTCTGCATTGTGAGCACCAACTGTGTGCTCAATCCCAGTTCTCACCCTCGGTCCTTTCTCTCTGCTTCCCTGGTTTTCCATGGACCACATGAAGGAGGACATCAAAGGTCAGAGGCCTGTCCAGCTCTTTGCAGAAAAAAAAGACAGAGCTACTGTTCAACAGAGGAAAGGGGAGAGAGAGGCAGGTACCCTGGGCGTGGCTGGCAGGGTCACTGCTCTTTCTCTCCCCCTCCCCCGCCTCTCCACATCCTCCTCCAGGCCTGCACCTCCCCTGTAAGTGCCCCCTTCCCGCTGTTTCTGGCGCCTTTCTCTGGCAACAGCTGTTAGGAGCAGATGGGCCTCAGGGGGTTGGGGTGGTGCAGCAGCTGGCTGGGCAGAAGGTATTGTGCTGATCTCCCTGTGGCCTGCAGGGGACTGAGCCAAGGAGTAGATGCCCTGAGACCCCAAGGGGCACCCAAGGAAGCCCTTGCTGGCTTTGAGGAAAGGGGC